AGGAACTGGAAGAGAAGCCAGAATTTAGGATTCCTTCAATGTGGCAACATTTGCACAAGTGTCATTATGTGAGCAAAAATCACCATGGGGAAAAGGCAGATGCCTTATAGTTTATTCACTCCCTACAAGTGTACCCTGTTCTTGCCGACTCTTGCATCAGAGATAAAAAGGATCTTCCATGATAGTGACAGTGACTAGAAAACTGCACTTTAGAAAGTCTTTTTGAAGAGGGACCAGCCCCCCCCCACACTACATATCAAAAGAAACAATACTAAGAAGATGACATCTATACTCTGCCACCTCTGAACAGAACATTTACAGCACACAGAGGAGTGTGATCTCTGCCACCCAAAAACTTCTCACTGCTAATCACCTGAATGACTGAAAAGTAGAGACAGGGCAAGATGTTCAGCCTTCAGACCTGCTGTTCAAACAAGAAGGGAAAGACAGGGAAGTCCTACCAAATGTGGCACTTGAAAGGTGTGTTCCATCCCCATTAGCTTACCATGCTCTAGTATGCAACAAAAATACAAATGAACTCCCGCAGTTTCCTCAGATTAGATTGGCTCCCCTGTCCGCCACTCTTTTTCAGTAGGGAGTATTATGTTTTCCCCTTTATATCCAAGAGAGGTTTTCTCTTACCTGTCCTGCATGTCTATTATGGCATTCACAACTTGCAACTTACATTTTGACTACTGTTTATTGAGGGCAAGGAAAGGAGAAACAGAGTTTCCTATCAGGGTATAATAAGGTCCACAAGAAGGAGTTATCTGTCTTGTCAGCAACTTTGCTTGAGCTACAATGACAACCTAATAATAATAACAATAATTAGTATCAACACCATTTAATCAACCAATATAATGCTAATATATCAGCTAGAAGAATCCTCTGACATGTCACAATGACTGTGTCTTAAGTTTTAGACATAGAAATCTAAAACAGAATCAGCAGAATTAAGAAGAAAATCAGTAACAGCTATAAGGATCCATCAAATGACAGACTTCCCACAAATTTTCTAGAATCTTCAAAACCCTGCAGGTAAGGAAATGGTCCTTATAACTGAGAAAACAGTGACCCAAGAAGATGAAGAACTATGCTCAAAGATACAGGGTTTATGGCTCTGGGCTGTAGCTTTGGATCTTGAAACTTGATCTAACTCCAAACTTCATGCCCTTACCTCTATGTGCTTCCAATCTATGTGCTTCCAAATGTCCTGTTCGGAGGTGGCAAAGTATAGATGTCATCTTCCTCCAGTAGGAGAAAATTACTTTTTAAAGAACCAGTAAAATGAAAACTTACAGTAAAGAATATTATTTTTCTTGATTCTGTTAACTTCCCAGTGGCACTGACTCAACCAATGAGTATTGGGCGGTTTTTATTGCATCAATAAGGGCTGATTTCTAATAACCAGGTTACCCAGTTTGATTAAGTAATAAGGCAAACTGCTGCCATTTAAGTAAAGAACAGAAAGTCTCAAACGCCACTTGCTGAACCAGTATTAAGTGCTTTGCTGCTCACAGGTAATGATGCCAAGAGTAATGATTTCCTGTGCTGTAATTGCTGTGCATCTGCATAATCACACCGCTATCAGTATAATGATATGCCAGGAACAGACTTGCACACTACTAGATTGACTAATAATTCATAATATATTCAGAGGCCAATGAAACATCTTGCGTGTATAGCTATGGCATCCTTTTATGTACCATTCGATGAAATAAAAAAGATTTTAATAACTGCTAGGACAGTTTTTTAAACATCAACATGCACAGCATTGGTGGCATGTACTTGAACATATTATTGTGCTTTGAAAATGGCGAAGTCCGGGCACTATTTACAGTTGCTACCACTATCACCATGTAGAAACCTGATAAACAACAAAAATGTAAAAGTAAACATTTCAATGGTCTACTGAAAATAAAGATGCTAAATCATCAGCATCTCTTGGCTCTTCAACAGGATTTGAACTCACCTATTTCTCCCTGCTCTTCTTGCAGTGCTCACTAACTGTAGACATCTTCCCTGCAATAATATTCCTCTGATTTTTCTCCCCATCTCCTGCTGCTCTCCTGCTGCTCTCCTGTTCTTTCTTTTTTTAATTTTTTTTATTGTAAAAATACTGTACAGAGAGGTTACAGTTACATGAGTAAAGTAATGAGTTCATTTCCTATCTAGCCTTGTTACCTCCTCCTTTGTTTTGCCCCTACCATCCCTTCCCTCCCATCTCCCCAAGTCCTCTTTCCCCTCCTCCACCCGCCCCAGGTTGTTCTTTCTGATAGCAACCTTTTCTCTATAAGTACAGGGACTGTCTTAGGTTTCTTTCTCTCTTTTATTTATTGATTTGGGAGGGAGGAGGATGACAAAGTTTTTCTCCATAGCCCAGGGTAGACTGGAGTTTGTGGTCCCACACCTCAGCTTCCCCAGCAGTAGAAGTCCAGGCCTGCTATCACATCTGGCTTGTCTCAAATTATTCTTCTTTGTTCTACATTCCTTCCCACTCACAGTACACTTCTCTATCACCTTATCTTCTGAGTCCCAGATCAATAAGAACTAACCATTTATTTGCCCTTTCCTCTTGGGTATCTGAGTATATTTTGCTTCCTTCCTTCTCTCCACCTTCCTTGACCTCACTATAGTTTTCTTTTTCTGAATGGTACTATAGTCATCCAAAAGGTTGACCAAATGAAAATATGGAGGCGATTCTTGTCCTTTTCACTTGTCCTTATATCTAGTTTTTTCTTATCAACTAGTACTTGAAGTTCTATTTCACCATTTTAGTGTTTCTGAAACCTATGGCTCTATACTTCCAAAACACTACTCCAAACTACAGCCACTTAACAGTCTATTATAGCAATAACTCTCTTAACTAGTACTATCTGTACTGGCTTCCCCCAAATCTTTCCTAAGCATGGTGATCTTACCAAAATGAAAATCTTTTTTCCTTTCCATCACCCAGATCCTTACATGCCCTCTATTCTTCTTCAAAAGATGCTGCCAGCTCTTGCCAGGGGCTTGACCTTGCTGTGTGAACTGGCTCCAGGGCCTCTCCCCAGTCTTAACCAGGCCACATTCCCCAACTCACTGGCCTTACTACACTGGCCTTGTCACACCCTAGCCATGTTCTAAATCAAACAGTCTTCCTACTTACTGTGGTGTCCAGCTGGAATATAGTTGTCCTCTTGTTGTAATGCAGTTAATTTTAACTCAATATTTAGGTTTATGCCTGTAACAGTCTATTTTATATGAATGAAATGTCTGAGGCAGGCTACTTCATAATAATAACGATTTAAAAAAGTTTATTTTGTTCACAGATCTGCAGGCTCAATGGCCCATATTTAGTGATGGTCTTTTTGCTGGCAGAGTCCCAACTTTACATAAGGCATTGTGTGGCAAAGGACAGGGAGAGTACACAGGCAAAACCATCTTTCTCTTATTCTTACAAATGTACCATATTTAATCACCACCCAGATGACCTTATCAAACCTAATCACCTAAAGACCTCACTTCTAAACACTATAGCAAGATTAGTTTCTACCTTCTTAGTGCCTCCCAATGGGGTTAAATTTCAGCACTCTTAACATTTGGGGGCTACCCAAACCATTCTAAGCCATGGCAAATTCAGGCATTATTTCTTCAGGAAAGCTGGTCCTGGACTATGCTAGATCCCTTAATCAAACTCTCTTCTACATGCCAAAGTTTTATGTTGACTTATGCATTATTCAATTATCATGCCTCTCACAGTAAACTATCAGTTCTAAAGCAGCCAATTTGTCTTCAGTTGCCTACCACTACAATACTACTGCTAATACTATGAACAGATACTCAAGAAAGGTGTTAAAGAAATACACAAAGAAAAGTACAGTATCTAATTCAAGGTTATTATGTCTGAAAAACTAAAAACAAACAGGCCATTGTTATAGAAAAGGAAGAAGATATAGCTCAAAAGGAAAATTAAAACTATACAACTTTGCAAGATTCTTCTAAACAGATTCTGAAAAGAAAGACTAAGGCAGGGGCTGGGGGTTTAGCCCAGCGGAAGGGCGCCTGCCCGGCGCGCTCAAGGCCCTGGGTTCAGTCCTCAGCCCTGGGGGAAAAAAAAAAGACTAAGGCATAAATGTGCAATGAGTCATAGGGGAGTTCTATGAGAAGTCTTTTGAGGAACCTCCATACTGCTTCA